AGCAACTGCTAAAATATCTTACAAATGCTGAGTGTCATCTTGCATCTAAATAGAGACCCACAACACCCATTAAAAAAGCAACCTCCCCACTGGCTATCAGATTATTTCACTAAAACAGAGGTCACAAAGTCACAGAAGTTTATACATTTGCTTTGATACACACTTTTTTTTTCTGTCTTTGTTTTAATGCCTTTATGTGCTACAAATTGTCCACTTTATTTAAGGTTCACCACTTCTGTATCTTACCTTGCCAACTAACTTCATTTGTATTGGGACCACAGGATATAGTGCCCTTCTGTATGACTAAGTAAAGAAGACAAACTTCGGCTCATTGATTTTAGCTAACTTTCACATTAAATAACGAACTGTATTTCTGGATCTACAATATATCATATTTTTTCTGAGGGAAAGTAATTGTTTACACATGTGCTTGAACACATAGATGATTGCAGTATACTCCTGAGGCTCTCTATATCCTTTTTCAAAGAGTGAAAAGAATGAAGGAATGAATCAAATTGTTTAAAATATATTTTGGTCCTCTGTTGTTTGCCAAGTGACTTGCAGGAAACAAAGAGGGACAGGAACTCACATTTATTATGTTTAATATGTGCTGAAAGTTTGTGCTAAGCACTTTACATACTGTTGCTCTTTGTTACTGAGACACAATACTCAACCCCCAAAGTTAAAGGAGAAAAGGTTTATTTGGCTAACAGTTTGTAGAGGTTTCAGCTCATAGCTGGCTGGCTGCAAGGCAGAGTGGCTTTGGCAGAGGAGTATCACAGAAAGAAACAGTTTATGACAGACAAAAGGCAGCAAGCTACAAGAGACAGGCAACAGCCCTCTTTCTGTCCCTAATACCTTACCCAGGGTGCCCACCCTTATACTCAGGGAGGGGCAGCGTTAATCCCAGCATCTCACCAGGAATCAATCCCAGCATCACATGCTTGATCCCGGCATCACACATCCTAGATCCAACCATCTCCCAAAAGCCCCACCTATATGATCATGTGAGGCTTTCAGGAGACATCTAGATATGAGCCATAACACACACATGATTTTAAAATAATTTTCGTAGTCACCCTATGGTGAGCAAGTATGGAATGTCCATCCACTTTTCAGCTAAGGAGACTGAGGCTAAGAAAGTTTAAATAACTCACCCAATTTCACAGTTACTGTGTGCCTGATACAGCTTCAGACCCAGGTCTTCCTCACTCTGAAGCCAGGCTCTGTCTGCTCCATTATACCTGGTCATCATTCAAGGATAGCAGTCTGGCTAAAGAAAGAAACTTCAAGAAAATTCTCATGTTAAAATATATCCTTCTTTTGAAAAGTTTGGGAACTTTATAGCATTTCTGTCTAAGAGATCCAGGCAAAAAAGGATGCTAGTGTTGAATTATGTGTTCAATAATACAGCCATAGGAAAAGGGAAGCTGCCTACAGACTGGGGGAAAATCTTTCTCAGCTACTGCAACAGAGGATTAACATCTAGAATATTTAAGGAATTTGAAAAACCTAGCACCAAAAAACCCAAATAGTCCAATTAATAAGTTGGCAAATGCGCTGAACAGACACTATTCAAAAGAAGTACAAATGACCAAAAAGTATACGAAAAAATGTTCAATATCTATAACCATCAGACAAATCAAAACTGCATTGACAGTCCATCTCACCCTAGTCAGAACAGTTACTATCAAGAATATTAAAAACAGTAAATAAATGATGAGAATACAAGGGGAAGGGGGAGAAGGAATTCTTCTGCATTGCTGGCGGGCGTGTAAGTTAGTACAGTCACTATGAGAATCAGTATGCAGGTTCCTCCAAAGCAACAAAAAAGTAGACCTACCATCCAATAGCTATACTGTTCTTTGGCATACACTTGAAGGAATTAAGGTCAGCATACTATAGGGATACTAAGATACCCATGTTTATTGTGCCACAATTTATAACCAAGATAAAGAATCAACTGGGTACCCATTAACAGATGAATAAAGAAAATGAGATATATTGGAGTATTATTCATTTGTAAAGAACAGATTTTGATCATTCACGGGAAAAATGGATGGATCTGGAGACCATTATGTTAAATGAAACAAGCCAAATTCAAAAAGGCAAATACCACATTTCTTCCCTAATATGTTGAATCTAAAAAATAAGGGAAAAAAGCAGAAAGGAAAGTATTATCAGATAAGAGGAAGGGGATAAGGGGGAGGTGAGAGGCTGGCTATAAAGGAAGGGAATAGGGGAAACATATAGGACCAAAATATATGCATTGAAACCAGGATTTTGTAAAAATTAATAGTCATCAATAATGAAGGAGAAATGTAAAAGAATAAGTAAAAAAGGAGGCTGGCAAATCACCAGGAAACCACCAAAGATATAGTTTTATTGTGTCTTTTAAGAACTAGAATTGACTTCCAAAACAGGCTGTTTTAAGAATGGGGTCAAACGTTGTTGCTTGTCACATGATTAGGTGGGATGGTAGTCTGAGAACTTGGGTCTCATTTGATCATGTCATAAAATATTGGTGTGATATTTGTGAGGATTTACTGAGAGCTTATTAATATGCTTTATTATGTACATGTCTTCATTTAACTTTCATAATACATTTATGAAAACTGTTATCCCGATTTGGTAGATGTGAAAACCAAGAAATCAAAATGTGGGGTTAAATACATACTGTTAAGAAATGTTAGCTCTTGGACTCAAATTCAAATCTGACTCCAGAATCGTGATCTGACTGTGCTGCCTCCCACCAAAAAGCAAGTGGTGTTCTAGCACCACTGTGTTTTGGAAACAGCACAAAAGAAAGTCCACATAGAAATTTGTGACAATTTGTAATAGAAAAAAGCTACCTGAGTCTCACCTTTTTCCTCTGAAGCTTCTCAATGTTATTTTTAGGCATATCCATTTCATAAAGAGGCCCAAGTTGAATATATTGATTTTTTTAGAAAAAAAAATGGTCACTAGGAGTGTCTTTAAATTAAGAAGTTGGAATAGGTCTAAATGTTCATGGTGAAATATATCTAAACTTTCTCTCCTTGGGCACTTAAGGAGGAACCCATTCCACAGCTGACCTGTGTTAGTGGCTTATCCCTTCAAAGAATAATTTAAATTTTGAAATATGTATAAAAAAAAGAAAACTGGAAGTTGTGGGGTGTGTGTGTGTGTGTGTGTGTGTGTGTGTGTGTGTGTACACGACCCCAGCACTCTGGAGGCTGAGGCAGAAAGACTACAGAATCAGAGGCCAACCCGGGCTACATAGTGAGTTCAAGGTTAGCCTAAACTACACAGTGAGACACAGTCTCAAAAAAAAAAGGAAAGAAAAGAAAAATGAAGATGAAGTCAGATTCTTTAACTCCATCAAATAGAATTACATATGAAGAAAGAATTATAGGAGGGAGAGATTATTCTGATGTATGGAGATCAAAAAAAGCAAACTGAGATGATTAAGAAAAATTTTCAGTTGCACAGAGTGGATTCGAATTGATGTTTGTTATCCTAAGCAAGTTATTTGACCTCATGAGAATTTTGAGAGTAAATAGTAAATGTATTTAGCCTGATGTCTTGGTTGTTCTCACTATAATTTAATGATCTATTTGTCTGTTGTGTCCTCCATTAAGGCTGTAATCTCTTGGAGAATGGGATCCACACCCTACCCATTTTCCCGTCTCCTGGCCTTCCATACCATGCTTATGTTTGCCCACATTCCTGATGTTTACTCCTCTGTGAAAAACATCCCACTATCAGATTGCTCCTGGCCTCTCTCCACTCCAGATGTACTTCACAGCAGGAGAAGTAAATGATTTGCCTGACTGGTGCATGGAGAAGAGCTTACTATGTGCTACTTTTCATGTTCTCTTGGGAATTAATTTTCCACGGGGAGCACACAGTCCATCTTCTACTCTCCTAGGTTATTAACCCTACTGTCCAGTGCCACCATGACAGTGTGTGCAAATCTGCCGAGTCACGTGAACACATTTCTACACAGAGAGTGAAGAATAGGTACATTCGAGCCGGATTGTGGAAGAGATCCTGTTACAGCTCCAGAGCCTGGCATGTCAGCGGATCCTTTACAATGTACAGATGACAGACCACATGTCTCATCCCAAAATAAAATCTGCCTTTTTTTCTTTGGTATTTGAATATTTTTATTGTTTAAAGAAAAAAGGAAGTTATTTTGCTTTTTGTTTTGTTGTTCATTGTTTTGCTTTTTGTTGAGCTGTGTGTGAGGCATCAACATTTTAAATACTGTGTTCTTTTTAAAGTTGTTTTACACTAAAGTCATAGTAGATACATCATCTGAACAATAGACCTGCTAAGTTAGTTTTTCTGTAAGTTTGGTCTCAAGGACTCCCTACCTTGGATTATCTGCAGGGCTTTCAAAATTCAGATTCCTATATTTCCTGTACCCTATATCTGCCAAATCAGAATCCCTGAGAGTAATGCTTAGGAATACAAGTTTTTCTTTTGCTCCTTATAGGAAGGGCATCACCTGTGAACAGACAAGTACATTCAACCTGAATGGACAGAGAAGAGCAAATTTGGGAGGTAGCTTATTTCTAAATCTGACTATTAACCGTCCTGATTACTGTAATAGTCCTTCTTTCTTATGGAAAAAGGAAACACTGCCTACTCAGCCAATGATATCAAAATCTCTGCTGGGCCTTTCCCATGTGGGCGTTTTGTGTCTTTCTGACAGGTCTTGTAATAACAAAAACCAGAAAAATAGTCAGAAGCTTAAAAAACCATTTTAGAAATAGAAACAAACACACACTTTAAAAGAACAACAAAAACCTTTTGCAATTCTTCCCCCAAACCATATATCTTAATTAGTTTTTCCTTTACCAAGTGGCTGAAGGAAATTGCAGGGAACTCACTAGGAACTTGACCAAAGGAATTGCCTTAAGGAATCATTTGCAAGCTTGCATCCTGCCACGCTGTCTTCCTTCTTTTTGCAAGTACAGGAGACACTGCTCAGACTTGCTTTTTTTCTTTCGTAGATCATGCAACAGATGAGTGACCACCGCTATGACAAGCTCACTGTGCCTGATGACATGGCTGCAAACTGTATATATCTAAATATCCCTAGCAAAGGACATGTCTTGCTGCACCAAACCCCAGAAGAGTATCCAGAAAGCGCAAAGGTAAAAAAAAAAAACTCCCCCCCCCCCCCGCCACTGCACCTGGGTAGGCTTCCACGGGGATTATTTTTATGACAATGACAAATGGGGTCTTCCTTTTCCTCTGTACACATTGTTCAGAAAGCAGAGAGAATATTAAAAGCACAGAGAAAGTTTATTTAACTCAGTTTTCTCCTTCCTGGCATCTGTCATTAGTGCATTCACAGTAGGTGGGTGAAAAAATGATGCATAGTATTCAAAGCTTTTCAAATAAGTATTCCAACCACTCAAGTCTGTGCTCAGCTCTGATTAAATACACCTTTCCACATCAACACTCATTAGACATAAAGACTCACAATCAGATGGTCAGCCGTTCGTTGTTTATTGACAGATCTGAGCTGCCCCTTAGTAGCTTCTGAAAGCAGAGGAGTATGGATGATCCTGAGAGGTGTGTGCTCATGGTCAGAGTTGCAAAAAGGGAACTATGTATCCTAGGTGGTGGGAAGGTAGAGCAGGAAAAAATGTGGCACACTTACATACGAGTGAGCTGGTCCCACCAGAAGTCTCTGCATTTGTTGTTCCTGGATCTGGAATTCTTTCCTGGTCTAAGAAAATGTCCCTTGTCTTTCAAGGCACTGCGCCAATGTCATATGCATGCCTTAGTAATGTCAATTTTATCCTATGAAACAGATTGAACAGTGCTCAACTACAGTTTCCTCAAGTGCACTCCTTCATCTCTGAGGAACATTTATATGAAGTATTGCAGAAGAGCCTTTAGTAACTGTTGAATTTTACTTTGAAAATATTAGGAATATTACAAGCACATAAACTATCAAAACTATGCTGTTACTAGGTTTACCTTCTAAATTTATCTGCTACTGTTTTAGTAGATAAAAAGGGAAAGGTTGGGGAAGTATATGGATAATTTCTCTCTATTTCCATGGCCAAAAGTGTGAACCTGTAGAAAATGTAAACTTCCAGATCTCAAACCAGGGGTTAATAGTGGATCTAATCTGTCTTAATAGTGGTTTAAGTGTTGTTAAAACTAGAGCCTTAGCATAGAATCACCTGACTGCAAGACAATCAGTAACTCCTTCCTCATTCAACCTATGTCTATCAACAGTAGCAGTAACATTAGCAAAATCCCCATGATTATTAATAACACCCCTGCAGATGGCTGGTGACTGAGGGCTTCTCTGGTGCCAGGAGCTATGCCAAGCAAGCTATAAACATTGTCTTGCTTTGTCCTTATAATGGCCATCAGAGACCTGTTTTATTATTTTAGCATGACAGAGAGGTAAACAGGTGCAGAGAGGCTGTCACTTAACTGAAGTCTTAGTTGTAAGTTGACACCACTGGGTTTGGAACCCAATTCTAACTGGTTCCAGGACTTTTAATTAACCATTGCACTGAACTTTAAGAGGCTTCCCCACCCCACCCCCACTCCCACCCAAAAAAGCATGGTAGATAGTTTTTAGGCAGTATTTTTTCAAGTGATTTTGTTTTTAGAAGTGTACTTTCTTTGATCACAGAGAAAAATCTGTGGACTGTTAATTTGAAGTTTGAAACACATTTTCCATTAGTGTTGAAAGATGCTATAAAATTCACACCTCTGACTTAAAAACAGTGTGTGATCTGAAATGATCACGTAAATTACACTTGGACAGATTTTCTCCAGTGGTTTCGGCAAGGAAAGAAACAATAAAGCCTCATTGAGAAGGCTTTCAAGTATGGAGAAAGAGAAATGTTCAGACTGAACACATGGCCACTGACTTCATGTACCACTTTAGCCAGCAATGACAATAGCAGAGTAAAGGCATTTCCAGCAACAACCACATTTCTGACACATCTTCGGCTTTGAGGTTAAAGCCTAGAGCTGGTGGTTAACCAGTTGCCACCAACTCTATGGGGAGAGTTGCAGGCGTGTGGGGCAGGGGGAGGTTATGTGTGTGTTAGGGATGAATGAGTGAAAGCTTAGGCACAGGAACTGAGTTAATTCTCTGAGCCTGGGGACAGCGAAACAGGATGAAATCGAATCCCTCTCTCTTACCCTCTGTTCTCACTGCAGGTTTATGAGAAACTGAAAGACTATCTGCTGATCCCTGTGAGCATTTCTGAACTGGAAAAGGTGGATGGGTTGCTCACCTGCTCCTCAGTTTTTATTAACAAGAAAGTGGACTCCTGAGCTACAGAGTCCCTCCCTTGTAGCCGGCAAGGTGGCCCTGGCCAGGCTGATGACTCTGTACCCACTCCTTTTGTTTTTCTTGACAATCTACTGTGCCACTGTGCTACTAACTCTTGTTTACAAAAATTTAATTCTGTTTCATTGCTTCATTTTCTGCACCCTCACCCTCCCCTCCTTCCCCTCTCAGTGGTACCTAAGCTGTGGATGTGCTAAATGAATTAAGCAACCTAGAAAACATAGAACTAATGAGTCATTGAAATGTGATTAATAATAGTATGGAAACACTCATTTTAGTGTTCACATTATCTGTGTGAAAATCGTTTAGTTGCAGTATATTCTGAAGAATACCTTCCTGATCAGTCAGATAAGCTAGCTTTTTTCCTCTGTGTCGTGAATCATGTTTGGTTCCTGTGAAATTCCTGATCCAGTGATTCCCCTCATTCTCTCTGTTCCTCTCTCTCTGTTCCTCTCTCTCCCCCCCCCTCTCTCTCTCTCTCTCTCTCTCTCTCTCTCATTTTCTTCTGAATTCTGGAAACCTTTTCCCCCAGTACTCTCTTTGGCCTTTCTATCACAGCCACCTTGACCTTGGGTAAAATCCAAGGTCTTGTATTGTGGACGCCTCCCTGTAGGTGCCCAGTCTGCCTGCAGTCTCCACTCGCTCACAGCTGACACATCGGTCACCACCAGCCCCCTCTCCCCTGGAGGGCCAAAGCGGCTCCTCTGCAGAACTACGACCAAAATCAGAGTGGCTGCTTGGAGCAGTGTTAGCTACACAGAGGCAGATCCCTCACAGGGTTTGCCCCGGGATCCAAATTCCAGAAGTAGGGCACCACACCCCGGAAGGTAAATGCAGCACCAGATGGTTGCTAAGGGCTCTTAGATCAAGAAACGTAGGAACACCCCCTGGGTACAACATCTTAGAAAGTCTCTAAGTCACATTCCATGAATTTTTACCTCATTACTGTTCATGTAGGACCTAGAAGAAAGACTTATTATTTTTTTCCTTCAGCTTATTTCTGCTTCCCTCTGCGGACTCACCCTATTTCCAGCCTCCAGTCCTTGCACTTACCCTGTTCTCACAAAGTCATTTCTTTCCAAAAGGACATCTAAAGATGATTATTGATGGTCTAGTGAGAGTCAGAGGGAGCGGCCCTGCATGTTAAGGAGCACATTCAAGAAGTGATCAGCTTGGTGCCAGAAACCAACTTCAGACAGTGGGTGATTCTACTCTGAAATATCCATGCATACTTACTATGGAATGCAATTAAAGCTTCTTTCTTCTCTACCCTTCAAGTTGCACAACTTTCAACTGACACGGGTGTCTTAAAAAGGGCAATGCCACAGTGAAGCTAGACATTATCCTTTTACTTAGAGTTGAAAGAATCAGGCTCGGAATATGGTACTTTCCAAGGAATGGTGCCAGATCCAGGCATCTTATCAGACCTCCTCGTCATCTCCACCTTTCCTGTATTACCTTGCGGCTTGTTGTTTAAAATTTAAAATCAGGGAGACTAAGAAATATTATTTCAGTGCTCACTGTGCTCACCTCCATGTTTGTAGTCAAACCACCATTAGGGCGGTGAACAAGGGAGGATTACCTGACTGCTTTTACTCCTCAGCAGGTGCGGGGGGGGGGGGGGCCTCTGGAGAATGGAGAAATAGAGAAAACCACTATCTTTTTTTCGTCTACTTGATAATTTTATGCTGGTGACTTGAAGAAGTACCTTCTCCACCCCCCCCCTTCCTTATTAACTTTAAAATTCATATCACTTGCAAATACCTAGCAATGTGCACCCCGTGAATGAACCATATCGTGGTCACCATTGCACTTTGAAATTTCTCATGGTGGGTGAATAATGTTTTTCAGAGAAAATGAATGCTGGCCACATGCTCAAGTTAATAAAGAAAAGTTGTTCTCAGTAATTAAGGTTGCCCTTTTGGGTTACATCTGGCCCTACACTGGCAAAAAGCAGAACTCCTCCCTGGGAGAGCGCACCAACTCAAAAGCAACCACAAGAAAAACAACCCAATCAGGCAGTTTAGGCTAACTGGCATATAATTTTCAATAGCATTCCTTCTGTCATCACTAAAATTAAAGAACTGTTCTGTATTATGTTTAACTAACTGCAAATGAATAGCTTTTGTAACAGTTTATTCTGCCAAAAGCGATTTTGTATTTTCCCTTTCCTTTCCTTCTTTCCCTTTCCCTCTTTCTGTCTTGAGAAATCACATAGACACTTTGTGCCTCTTTTACGTCTTATTCTGCACTGCTGTTACCTGGTCAGGGTGGCTTCTTTTTCTCCCTGTGTAATACAAAAATGTGAAAACCTAAAATACTTGCAGAAGAATGGTATTACTTATTTGATGTTCTCATCAGCATAATGTTTTCTTTAAAAAATAAAGATACCAATTACAGAGATTTCTTTCTCATCCATTGTGACTTGTAAGGAAGAATAAACTAACAGACACTGTTTTTGGACATGATAAAAACATGAGGAATTTTATTTAAGTAAGTAAAAGTTGAGTCAAAAATATTTCACTAGTATTATTCAGTTTAATAAAGAGACAATGTAGAGCAAATTCATTATTTAGCATTATTTCTTTATGATGGATTGCTATAGAAATCAGTAGGCACATCTCTCTAATGTGTATTGATTGCTTGTTTAAGCTACTGTGAACAGATTGCTACCGCCATTTCTTGATCTTTAAGGGGAAAAATAGTCTATAGATGAATAATACAAGTTATGTAGAGTTGCATGTCAGTCTTTATAATTATTTAATCTTTAACATGCTCCAGAGCTTGGGTATGATTTCAACATGATGTTAGATTTGTGCATTTCACTTTCCTGCCCATCTTGTTCCAGCCAATGTATGGATCCACTCTGTGTGCCAAAACCAGTACTGCCTTTCATGGCCCATTAGTCCTGAGAACTTCTGCACTGATTTTAGTCTCTGGCTGACCCAGTTCTACATGTATACAAATCAAGATGGAATAAAGTGTGAGTTGTAATGTGATCGATGGTGTGTGTCTCTTTTTTGTGACACAATCTGCCATGGGGAATGAAGTCATCATTTCTTTGCTAGTAACCATAGGATATTTTCTCTCTTGACCTGTAGGCAAAAGAATTAGAAATTCTGTGCTTATAAATCAGCTGCCATCCAAAAAGATTAAAGTGATATTTGAAGTGATGCTTCATACTTTAGTCACTTACAAAATATGCATACTATCCATGCTAGGTCAGGATAGCTTGATTTGACCTGTGCTTTTCTTTTAAATCTGCCTCTTATTCACTTTTATTGCTAAATATGTTATGTGCTTCAGTTATGGAGAAAGTGAAATGATTTTTTCTTTCCTTATGCAAGTGTTTGTTTTTTTTTTACAGTAAGTATCCTTTAGGAAATTTGAAGGTTTTTTAAAATTTGCAGCCTTATAGAGCCCAATTTTTACTTGTAAAACATAATAGCTTTTCACTGTAAAAATAAAATCCAAAAAAATTATAAAAAATTTAAAATTACTGAAAATTTTATCATCTAGAGGTAATTACTATTACCATTTCCGAGGATATCACACTTCTATGAATAAATATAGATATGACTATGGAATAATTTCCATAATCACACTGTTCTTCAGTCTGTTTCCTTTACCTAGCAATATATTATGGGCTCTACTCCAACTCAATAAATATAGATCTGCATCATCAATTTTAATAGCTCTGAATTTTCCTCAATGCAATTGTTGAGGCGGTTCTTTCTTAATTACACACAATGTTATATCACAGATGGTCAGTATGCCCATATTGCTGTTAGCTGGGTAACTTCAGGATATCAAAAATGGGCTGCTTATAAGCTTAGAGCTAGTTCAACGTGATGTACTCTTACCATAACTGAATGGTGCATTGAGAATGCTCACCAGATGCATAGAGCAGTACTATAGTTCCCTGGGATTGATCTAATCACATCTCCTCCACTGATGTTGTTGCATTGATTTGTTCTGCATTATCTAGATGGGCATTAGCAATGAAGTTTTTAAAAAATGTCAGGAACCAAATGCTACCTCTGTCAAGTTGCACTGAGCCCAACAAGTAACAGAATTCTCTACCTCAATACCAAGTGTACATGGCTCCTCCCAGAGCAAAAAGGGAGGTCCTCCTTAAGAAAGATCAGAAAAGGCTCCCCAATGGATCCTCCTCTCAGCTGTGAGGGAATGATGGAAATACCCTCTCATGACAAGCTTCAGAGTCTGGAAACAGAATACTGATCATCAATTGTTTGAGATAAGCGACTGCATTTTTAACATGCGCCCACATCCTGCCAGGCTCCAGAGCAGCTCTCGCTTTTTGAGAAGTGACCATTTGAGAGGAGCTGGAAAGGACAACTACACAAATGATGTGGCACCACAGCAGGTAAGATGAAGATCAATAGCGCTGTGGCAGTTCCCAAGTCAGAGATCAAACAAAGGGTCACAGTTTGACCTGCATTTAGAAAGACAGCTCTGGCTTCCACAGATCAAGATTGGGGGGTACAGATATTTTTGGCTGGGAGAACATCATGAGCAAAAGTCATGAAGGTGGGGCAGCATCGTGGGTGCTTCAGGAACAAGTATTGTCAAGCACTGACTATGTGCCTGTTACCTCTGTTAAGCCCTAGGACAGTTCTGGCATTCCTGGCATTTACATAAGGCAAGGAAAATAGACACTAAACAAGTTAAGCACATGAGGTGAGCATTATGGAAAGAGAACAGGGTGCACAGACCAGATAGCAGATGACAGCAAGTGTATTTGTCCGGCTAAAACATGAGAGAAATAGAGGAGCATGGTGAGATCGTGTAGGTTGGCCCTGCCTGCTAAGTTAGGTTCTTTGGACTATGAGGAGTTTTGACAGTCTGTCAGGGTCCACCAAAGACTTTTATGTCAGGAAATGATCTTGTTGGAGCTTGTTCTGGCAGAATTATGTAGGACAATTGGGAAGTAAGTAATATTTCTCTTAAGTTTAATTTCTGTAAGTTTAATTTATTACACATCTCTTCTTGTCACAAATAAGAGTCTGAAATCCAAACAACTCTCTCTATTTGCTGTTCTAAAGAACAGATTAATCACACCTTCCTTCACAACTCTAAAGAGAGATTTTCAATGAAAATGAGGTAAAAGACCAGAAGGGTTCTTTGGAAGGAAGGTGTAAGGTAAATATCATTATCATCATCATTATCCTCATTAACTTGTGTCACAGCACGCTTGAATCCCATCAGAATGTCAGCTTCTATTTGACACATCAGTCATCTGCTCCAGAAATAACTCGGGATCTTCATCATGGCTGCTTTGAAGCTGGCCTGACAGCTTCTGCAGTGATTTCACAGGTGTCCTTGGCTGCTGAGATGGCTGCCCCGTTAACATACTTGTATTAGGGAACCTGGTGAATTAGAATGTTCCTGTCTCAGTTCCCCATGTAGACACTCATTTCTAACTTAGTGAAAGCTGGCCCACTTATGGTACAAGATAACTGGGGTTATCAGAATTTTGGAGAACATTTAAGACCAAATATGTTACTGTCACTATAAATAAAAGATTCAAGCAAGTATGGCAGCAACCACTTGATATAACATAGCATGGATGGCTTGTGACATGAAAGCAAGGACGAGGCTCGAGATGATGGGATGCCCCTTCTATTTATAAACAGAAAGCTTCATCGCTTTGCTATGAATACAGAGAAAAGGCTTGGGTGTATTTACATAGACCTAAAAAAGGCGTTTAGTTTGCTTTTTCTTCATGCTAACTTGAGGTATAAATGACACATTAAATGATATAGGTGTGCAAATTGGTATTTTGATGTACAGATACACTGTGAAACAATCATATTCAACTAACATATCCATCACCTAATAGTTCATGTGTGTATGTATGTCAAGAATAAGCGCTTTCTTCTTTGCAAATTTCAAATATACAATAGACTTTTGTTTACTATAACTGTATGGCCATACATTAGATCTCCAGAACTTACTCATCTTACCTACCTGTAACTTTGTACCTCTTGACCAACATCTTCCCATTTCCTCATCTAAAACTAATCTGCAAGACCCTGTTTGTAGACAAGGAAGCTTATTAGTAGAGAAGAATTCAGGACAATTCAAAATTAAACTGGATACTATGTGGTATATGTTGAAATTTCCCTCACCCCATAAAGTTATAATAACTGCTTATTTCATATGAATGTGAAAAGTTCAAGAACCAAACAAGTTCTGATTCCAAGCAACAGTTCATCTTTGTAGAAATGTTAGTTTTTCTACTGCTGGAAGGAGCTTGTGGAATAAACACTGATTCATGCATCCAGCAGAGGCTTAAAATTCTAGGGCAGGATGTGAACAAAGTCATCTATTTTGTTTACAGGCGACAGAGATGAGTGTATGAGAGCGCCTGGAGTTAACACTAGGACAGAATCACAAGGAATTCCTTTTTTTTAAGTTTGATAATTATTGGAGTGGGGGACAGAAGAAATGTTGTTATGAAGGGCAAAATGGTAACAAGGAGTCCACTAAGAAATAGAATTCAGGGCCAAGGATTGAGCTCAGTGGTTCAAGCGCTTGCCTGGTAAGCACGAGGTCATGAGTTCAATCCCTGGTACCAAAAATAAATAAATAAATAAAATATTTAGTTCTTTAAAAAAAGAAAAGAAATAGAATTTGTTGCCACTTGGTTCAAACAAAGAGATTTTAATGGAGGTCGGCTCAGAGGTATTAAGCATAATGATACAAACAACGAGTGAACAGGACACCCAGAAACCAATAGTAAGCAGTACTCAGGCCCCCAACAGGTCAAAAATAGGGAATTGTGTTACCAGACCTGAGATAGAAAATTCAGGACTCTGTCACGAGTTAGAGACCAGTTTCCACACAGAGCGGAAGTACCTCAGCCTTTCTCCTCCTCATTTTCCTACTCTCTCCATTGACCGAACACAACTGCAAGATGCTATTGAGAAGACCTGCATGGTGCCTTCAGTGGGGGTCAGCCTCTTAGGGCAAAAAGTTGGCCACAAAGGGCAGAGGATGCATCTTGAGAAGCCAGAAGATGTCTGCACAAGGCTGTTTTGAAATCTGCATAATGCCAGTATAAAAATGAGTTTAGTCTATCAAATAAAAGGCCATCATCAATACGAGGTCAAAATGTTGGCATTTAAATCATTAATTCTTGGCAAGTTCTTCAGGCATGTGCCAGTTACATGGTCTGGTCCTTCCTCCCTCCACATCAAAAAATGATTGGAACAGAATTAACAACAGAAAGTGTGCATTGCCTGAGGGTGAAAGATCATTGCATTCCAGACCCACAAGTCCTGGACCTCTTTACTAAGCACTATGCTAATTCTAAAATTAGACCAGTCTCTTGGACACCTGGCGTCCAAAAACAGTGAGTTGCTTTTTTTTTGCAGTGTACCCATGACCTTCTGGTGACATAAACTTGCTTTGGATGCTGGAGAATCTATTTTCTCTGATTCCTGTTTTGTTTGTACATCTAGCCCACCTAGCCAAGGATAAGGCATTTTGCTTTTATGTGATTATGTTGCTCATGGTGATACTAGTCAATCCTCCTTCTCTGAGGATGTTCAAGAAGACTGAAGGACCATGTATAAGAGCAGTTCTAGAGAGATTGGTTTATCCAGTGACATTTGATGCAGGTAACATCAGTATCAGGGTATTCATTAGCATCCTGTTAGTCTACAGTTTGGTCTCCATGCTGTTCTGATTCCTAGGACTTTCCTTTCCCCTCTACTACCCTGATCTCCCAAAAAGAGGCACATTGTTCTCATCTAACAAATGATAGTAAAAGGTGTTCTCCTTCTAGCCCAGCACCATGAAGAGCTCCATTGATCCATTCCTGAGTAAGTGTGGTAAAAATCATTCGTAAAAAACAAACATTTAGGGGCTGGGGATTTAGCTCAGCGGCATAAGCACCTGCCTTGCAAGCAGGCGGTCGTGAGTTCGATCCCCAGTACCGATAAAAATGAAAAAGACAAAATAAATAAATAAA